AATTAGTGAACTTAATTAAAATTCAAAAAATAAATTTTGATTTTCTGAAAAATGGGTACCCTTCGATTTTGCTGATTTTTACATATTTTATTCTCCTATACATCAGCTACATCATATAAAAAATCCAGAATGGGCCGACGTCTACGTAACTGTCTTTTGGACTTCGTAATGTCTGGCACTCGCGTGTTTCGTTTTAGCAACCAAGTAGAGCCGCTACCCGGAGATGCTTCTTTCTACCCCAAACCAAAGCAAACCTAACCTGACCTGACGTGACCTGACCTAATCTAACACGCGTAAATATATACAGCCCTCACGGCAGTTGCCGACTGGCCAAATGCTACCTAACTAGATACGAACATTAGCCCTCACGACAGTTGCCGGCTGGCCAGATGCTACTTAAAAAACAAATGCGTGTTAAACACTTCAGGCTGACCCACTGCGAGCCAGCGACCTTTAGATTTCGAGGTGGGTACACTCGGCACACTTACTACTAAGCCACGAAGATAGCTGGTCATCGTAAGCCAGTTTTTTTAATGATGAAATTGGGGATTCTCCGGGCAGCGCCTCTCTTTGGTTGCAAAAAGAAAATACGCCTGACTCTCCCAGCGCTAGGGGAGAAAAGCCCGGTTTAGCCAAAAAAGGTATAAAAAAGGAATTTGAATTGTAGTTGGGGCGGTGGGGAACTTTATCGTGTGTCAATTTCATGGCCCTAGATCAATATATTCAAGATCAAATGAGGTTAAACGTGATCAAATTTGCTTTTGTGACTATTTTGCATTTATACGCCCATAGCTCTAAGAGATACTGGCCGATTTTCCTATTTCTTCCTTTATACGACATTTGTAGTGTTATGAGAATCTCTAGTTAATCTTACCATAAATTTGGCAGTTAGTGGCTTGCTAAGAGTAAGATGTCGCCGGCAGAGGCGGGGATCGGCCGACGCGGGAAACGTCATAGTCACATACCTATTGTGTTTGCACCCTAATAGTTTAATTTTACTAGTTGATTTTCGTATTTATTTGAACATTAGATTGCCTGTACATTTTTAGGTCTTCACACAAAATTTGACACGAATCCATCATAATCAGCGGTAAGAAGCGCGGTGCAAAGATGGAACCGTGCCGCGCCGGCACAGTCTACCATTCAGGCGGCAACGGCCGGCGCCGGCCGCCGAGCCGCTCCGGCAGGAATGTTTGACTTTACACCGCTATTACTAGACAAGTTGTGGACTGATTTACCTATTTCTTGCACGGGAGGATTTGCAATTCGATTCTGGACAGGTACTGAAAGTTTGACATCAATATGATAATTATGGTGTGAGTTATTAGCGAAAAACAGGTGGGGTTGGAGAAATCCGCTCCCTTCCACTGCGCGTGAACGCTGCACTTTTTGTTGCTATAACATCCAAAGTTATCGTTCGCCCACTCTAATTTTCTCAGCACGTGTGCCTTACGTGTAGTGGAACACAATATCTAAATTTGAGCAAAATCGAAGGGTACCCATTTTTCACAAATTACATTTTAAAAAATTAATTCAAGATAAAAAAATTCAAAATCACCAAAAAATGTAAAAATTGTCAAATTTTACTAGCATAACTCTTTACGTACACGTTTCAGTTTGTTTGAAATTAACCCTCGCCCATGTAGGGGGGGGGTTGGTGCAACCCCCCCCCCTGAGGTTTTTCGGAAATAGTGCAAAAACGGCGGCGCGCAGCGCCGCCAAATTTTAAGTAACTTATGGGGCAAGCCTTGCGCATCTTTTGATAAAAAAAAATTGACCGGGTCATGTCAGGTCACGGAGTTATGACGTCACAAAGGGAACAGCCTTCGGCCGGATTTTCACAAACTGAGTGCCAACGCCCGAGGTTTCCTGCCGGTGGTACGGACATCGGTTGATGGATCGTGATGAAACTTCCCATGCATGTTGGGGCAAGTATTGGCTATCATATGGTATAAGAAACTTGACCGGGTCAGGTCAGGTCACGGAGCTATGACGTCACAAGAGGAACAGCGTCCGGTACTATTTTTGAAAAGCGCCCGAACCACTATTTTGCTAATTCTTGTCACCTTAATGGGAATATGCAGCAATATTAGCTTCTATAGGGAGCAAATGGACCTCCCAAATCCAAAAATACAATCAGATTTCAAAAATTTAAATTTTGATTTTTCGAATTTCTGCCGCCGACTGTGACCTTGCCGACTTCCGGCGCTCCCAACGCGCCATTTTTAGAGCTAGGGAAACGAAATACATACCAAACGATAGGGAATTGATCAAGGAACACGATAGTGAAGGTTTCAAGTCGATATCTCCCACCGTTTTGCCGCAATCGCCGCGGAAAGTTGAAAAAAGTCTATTTTTCCGAAAATTTGACCTTTGACCGGTCAAAAGTAGGTCAAATGTTGACCTAGGACCAAAAAATATACCACCAATCGCGAGATCTCGGCGAGAGCAATCCGTTGGTCTTTTCCGCTAAGCTCTACGACGCTCCGTTTTTAAACGCCAAGGGGGGGGGGTCGCACCAACCCCCCCCCCCCTGCATGGGCGAAGGTGGCAGATCGCCGTTTACGGGCGAGGGTTAATAGCTTCAAAAATGTTGAAGCTATAGATCTTTCAAGATTGCAATACATGTCCAATTCTGCTCAAAAAGCAGAAGTTTAGCGACTTGTATCTCTGTACCCCGAGGGCATATGACAAAATCCTTTCACCCTCAGAGGTTTCACCCAATAGCCAATAAGTATACCAAGTTTGAACAAAATCGTAGAGGTGGCCGATTTTGGCTGTCCCGGTTGACATGGAATGCCCCTATTATAAGTTGTGACTGCCATGAGGATGTTTTATTTATATTTTTAGGATGTCATTATGCTTCTCATTATGGGTGAATTTCCCCACAACATTACAATTTTGGACACACTCGCCGAGACCCACTGAAATACCCGCCGAGACCCACTGAAATACCCACCGAGACCCAAATCAGTGGGCACACTACCCTGCTCACCGAAATGCTCTACATACATGTCAACCTTTTTTTAGTCCTGCATTTAGTTCATTTAGTCCTGTAACGCTGTGTGATCAATGATGGCTAACAGGGCCACGGGAACTACTTGCAGACTGAGGGGCACAGTGTGCCCCTTATTAGGGTGTGCCCGGCACACCCTAATTGAGATCAGCCTAGGGTGTCCCCAAATTGAGTTTTATCATCGGTTTTAGGCCACTTATTTTCCATCCCCTGTCTTTTTTTTAACAAAAAAGAAAACATTGGCAAAAAAGTGCGGTAGTCCGTCTCAAAGTTATGGGGGCACCGCCCCCACGGTCCCAGAGTGGGGGGGGGCAAGCTGCCCCACTGCCCCCTCCCCCCCGGCTCCCGCGCCTATGATGGCCAATGGGTTATTAGAATGTCCACTTACGTGACCATTAACCAGTCTAGGTACCCTGTGGTTGGTCCGAGCTGTTAGGTAATCGTAGTTTGCCATTCCCTGCCAGGTTGAGCGACGCCTACAAGAGAACAGTGATTCTGATTCGGTTCATGTAGTATTGCAAAATAAGGCACTAAACCCCAGTAGGGCGCGTTATACACAGACCCCAGTGGGGCGCGGGTTAACTAACAGCAGATGGGTCAAACATGGGCGATATAGCATCCCAGATGGGTTTTCGATTTTGTCGCTTTTTCGCTCCTTATGAGTCACTTGATCTAATTACAGCTTAACTAGGAACGAGGCGGATCACTTGGACGTATTCGGGAGCCGAATACGTTGTTTTGGAGCCAATACCTGGGAAACTTTATCCGCCCAATGAGAGAGTCTACATGCCCAAATTAACGTTGAGCGCGGCCGTTTTCGTTCAGTTTTCCGCGACCTTTTGGCGAAATCGCCTTCTTTATTCAACCAGGGTGCACTAATTCGCATAACTAGGAATAAGGCGTTGAAGAGAATTATTCAAGGAATTGAGATGTGCAAAAATATTTTATATTGTTACAACTGTATCGGCCCCCGAACGATAAATATTGTTGACGCATCAGAAACACATCCCGTGGAATACGTTTGGACTTGGCTGGATCTAATATTAGCGAGTATCTGCTAATGCAGCTTCTTGGCTTGCAAAGTATGCACACAAACATACATGCTTCCTGCTGTTGGATTATTCCTCACTCGAATGAAAATTTTGCTATGATAACTTTCCAAGCAGTTGACAGGTTTTAGTGCAATGCAAAGTAGGAACCGTCCCGCGCCGGCAGTCTCCCAGGCGGCGCGTAACGGGCGCCGCCGGCCGCCGCGCCGCCGCTCTGGCAGGGTGTTTGACTTTATACCACTGTTGTTAGAAAAGTTGTGGACCGATTTACTTGATTCTTGTATGACAAGATTCGCTATTCAATTCTTATCAGGTATCGAAAATTTGACGTCAATTGCACGATGCGCCGCCCATATTGTGGTACTGCCATCTATTGACAAGACTGGAGAACTAAAGCCGAGCGGCTATTTCCACTTCTGACACACCATGTGTTGCTTCGGAATCTTGCCGCATCCTCCTTTCCTCCAGACCTTGCACCGTCCGGTTACCACCTCTTCTCAAACATCAGGAAGCTGCTCAGTGGTCGTGTCATCGCCTACAGCAGGGAGAAGACACGACCGTAGCAGCCATCTTGGACGTGCCGGATGGGTCCGAAACCCACTTGGTTAAGGAGGGTCTGAGGTTTCTAGCGTAATGCTGCGAAAATGTGTTTGTCGTAAGAGTGATTATTTGGATATATGAACATTTCTGGTCTAAGAAATTGATGTCGTATCTCTGCTCCTTCATGGTCGGGCCCGGAATTTTTTGAACGCCCCCTGTGAATCTGTGTGGAGTCATTTGGCGTTGAGCAGCCACCCCTTTCCATGTGGACGGGCTGCCTTTGTGGGCCTTTTGTGGGCCTACTTTACCTGGCAGAGCACAGGACAGTGACAGTGACACAGGACAGCCGCCACCCCTTTCCATGTGGACGGGCTGCCTTTGTGGGCCTACTTTACCTGGCAGAGCCGGCGGCGCTGTTGAGCTGCCCATTTCACGCCTCCTCGAAGGCGTTAGTTGTAGCCTGTTGAGAGGCGCTTGGTGACCTTCAAAAGACCTCGGCGGCCGCGGGTGCTGTTGGCCGCGCGCTGAGAGCGGGGCGGGCAGGTCTGGCAGGCGGGTCGGCGGGGCGCCATGCGCCAGCAGCGCGCAGCAGGTGACTGTCAGCAGGGCGGCCCTCTGCGCCAGGGGATGGCGTCAGTTGCCACACCGGCGGGGCGCGGCGGGCACACAGGACACGGCAGTGATTCAGCGACACTGGACGGTGCGCAGAAGCACAGCGACACTGCACACGGCACAGCGACAAAGAATAGCAGGGCAACGACACAGGACAGCAAAACAGTGGCACTGGAGAACGAGACAGTGATACGGGACGGTGATACAGGACGGTGATACAAGATAGTGACACAGGACAGTAACACAGGACAGTGGCACTGGAGAGCGATACAGTTACACCGGACAGTGATACAAGATAATGGGACAGTGACACATGACAGTGATTTAACCCTCGCCCTGGCAGGGGGAGGGTCGATGCGACCCCCCCCCCCTAAGGTTTTTCGAAGATAGCGTAAAAACGGTGGCGCGCAGCGCCGCCAAATTTGGCACAGCCTATGGGGCAGCCTTTTTACATATGACCTGAAAATTTCAGGTCCGGGTGACCTTGGGTCAGGTCACCAGGTCAGAAAAACCGGTACAAGGTCATAGTCAAATTTCAATTTTCTTTTTGCACCTGTCCAACTCACAGTTTTTGACTGATTTCCTTCAAACTTTCTGGGTGTGCTAAGTTCACGGAGTTGTATAACATATAGTTCGGGTTTTTTTATGTCACTGACCTGAGGTCAGTTAGAGGTCATTACGTCGTAATGTTAAGCCTACGGGAAAATACTAAATTCCGAAAATACTGGAGATATCCGCTTCGTTCTATCACTTTTGTGCTTTGAAACCGTAGTACTTAACAGCAGGTCACTTGGTGCTTCTTTGTTTGGTGGTCTTATCCATGGGTCAGGTCAAATGAGGTCAACTGAGGTCAAATGACGTTTTTGCCAATAACTTGGCACATAATGACGCTAGAGCTTAAAAATGGTGTCACTGTGTTCCTTGTGATCGGCCAAATCGAATGATATGCGATATGCTGCAATTTGGTTAACTTGAACTTAATTAATTAATTAAAGTTTACTTAAAATTTAAGAAAAACTTTAAGGACAGCAAGCTAAAAGTATACCATTCGACGCGCCTTGACGTGCTGAGTTCACTGCTGCTTTTCATTTTGCTCTATCTGAATTAGATCAAACGTTATAAGCGAAAAACTTTTGACCTGTTTTTAGCTAAATTTTTACATTTATACCCCCCCAAAACCCCCCTAAATATTGACCTAGAGCAACCAAATTTGCACAGGGGCGAGAACTCCCGGAGGTCCACCTACCTACCAAATTTGGTGTTTCTAGGTGCCATAGGAGCCAATCGCAAGGGGGGGGTTGCATCGGCCCCCCTGTTGAGCAAAACCTATTCTCACTGACCTCGAGGTCACCGATGACGTCACAGGTCAGTTCAAAGTAAAAATTATCAGCATTTTTGCTTGGTATAGGTACAGTTTCATTACTTGACCTTATCCTCAAATTAAGTGTACAAAGTTTTTTATCAGAAGTTTTCTAAATTTTAGAATTAACAAGAATACTGATATATTTCGAGCACTGCTCTTCGTCGGTCTTACAAGGTAAACATGATCACACCAAATTACACAGAAGCTCAATTCGTCTCAAAACCTTCACTAATGTCACACGCAACGAATAATTATACAGAACAGTCAGACAATCCGATCATATTCGATCATACTTCAAATTCTGCTTATCAGTAAATATCACCGCTTTATCGTGTTGCATAATATCCTTCAAACGTCTATCCAATGCTAAGATAGCATAAAGAAAACCTGTCACATTATCACATTATACAGTTAAGTGAGATCCCCACCTCTGCCCCTCTTCCCCTTGTGGTGGTTCATAAAGCAAGCAAGCAACTTTACTTCACTGCCTTCAAACTTCAAACAGTGAAGTGAGTCACGACCCTCCTCACCCCCAGCCCAGCCCGGCCCGGTTTGACAGCGACATACATACGAGTACGAACGATACCATCAGTCGCCAAAAACAAAACACTGTCGATGTTTACAAAATATGCCATGATGTTGAGTTGTCGTTGATCTTTGGCCTAGCGTCTCGGATACATACCTACTTTTTTCGGCTTTCTATTTGCTTCATCTTTACATACACGCAGAATTTTGGCCGTCATAGAAGTGTCACGAGGGTCTAAATCGGGATGAATTTGGATAGTATGCTCTCCGAATGGAGCATCATGTTCACCATTCATACCGTTCCTACGGTGCTCATTAAATCGCAGTCTAATTGGTCTGCCTGTCTCCCCGATGTATATGTCCCCACAGTGTTTACATTGGACCTCATAAACAACATTTTTGGTGGCACACTTGTTTTGTAGGCCTGCCTGGTACGAATGACAGCACTTTCTTCCGGAGTCTTTGCAGTCCACTCATGCAAAGAAATCGGATATAGGTTTAAAACTGAGCTCTTGAGAGCGTTTGGCGTTATTCAATATTTTGCATCAAAATCGGCCGACATGACGTCACTCTGACGTCATTTCCGGCCAAACTATGGTCGCTAGAAAGTTAAAATTTCAACACAAGGTGTCAAATTAATGCCGCTGAGGGTACCGTAAGTTTCGTGTTGATCCGTGAAACGGTTTGGAAGATATTGTTGAAAAACGGGAGTGGGGGCTCTGTAGATTCTCCCGTCATGCGCGGGTTAACGACTTTTTTCCAAATTTATCGAAAGTTTAAAAAATAAATATGTGATAGAATACATATTGATGATTTGCTTCAAAAAATTGTAGCCCAATATCTTCAAAAATACCTAAGTTATACGCTTTGTAGTGAACATTTCATCATTATCAATTTTCAGTACGTTTTCGACAACAATGCATCTGGTATTTACCTTCTTTGTTGAAAAAAAATATCTTCAAAATTTGACCTTTTTGACCTGAAAGTGACCTGACCTTAGCTAAATTCAAGTGAAGATTGTCTCAAATGACACAGACGACACTGGTTTCGTAATTTATGGCTGACAGGCCATAATTATTCAATATTTTGCATCAAAATCGGCCGACATGACGTAACTCTGACGTCATTTCCGGCCAAACTATGGTCGCTAGAAAGTTAAAATTTCAACACAAGGTGTTCAAATTAATGCCGCTGAGGGTACCGTAAGTTTCGTGTTGATCCGTGAAACGGTTTGGAAGATATTGTTGAAAAACGGGAGTGGGGGCTCTGTAAATTCCCCCGTCATGCGCGGGTTAACGACTTTTTTCCATGTTTATCGAAAGTTTAAAAAATAAATATGTGATAGAATACATATTGATGATTTGCTTCAAAAATTGTAGCCCAATATCTTCAAAAGTACCTAAGTTATACGCTTTGTAGTGAACATTTCATCATTATCAATTTTTCAGTACGTTTTCGACAACAATGCATCTGGTATTTACCTTTTTTTGTTGAAAAAAAAATTATCTTCAAAATTTGACCTTTTTGACCTGAACTGAAAGTGACCTGACCTTAGCTAAATTCAACTGAAGATTGTCTCAAATGACACAGACGACACTGGTTTCGAAATTTATGGCTGACAGACCATAAGACACGCGTTACGTGACCGATGCATGATATTAAATTCCGTGACCTTGGATGACCAGACCTTGACCTGGCAAACACGAAGTACAGGTTCGGTACACTCAAGGTATCTTAGGCATATATCAAGGAGTGTGTGAACCAAAAAATGAACCTGATCTGACTTGCTAGCCGGCGGCCAGAACCCAAATTATGAAGAAGGCAAAACGCTGATAATTTTTACTTCGACCTGACCTGTGACGTCATCGGTGACCTCGAGGTCAATGAAATTATGTTTCACTCGACAGTATCTATCTCCAGGGTTATCAGCCGCCGTTTGAATTTTGACAATCGGCCCAGTAGTTTCAGAGATAGGATTGGGGACTCTGTAGTGCTCCCCCCCCCCCCCAACCAGTACCCAGGTCGCGCAAGGTCAGGTCACCGGGTCACGCCAAGTGACCTCACCTTAGAAAAAAATGAATGTTCGTCATAGCTACACCGACTAAACTATTGCCTTGAAACTTTCAGTGATTGATGAGAGTAACAGCATCTACAAGTATAAAACGTATATCTTGGAATTTTGATATCGGTGAGCTAAGGTCAGGTCAATTTTGCGGCCTCTCCATATATGGAGAGGTCCCATTGACATACATGTCAATGGGGGATAATTGAAAAGCGCCTCTTTTGCACGAACGCCATCCTAGACACTTTCGAACATTAGAATGCAGGTAAAATTGACACACTGAACCGGAAAATGGCATCTCTGACCCCTTGTTATGTCCCCGAGGTCATCTCAGGTCACAAATATTATCTAAAAGTTTTCACTAATAACTTCTGTTAGAGGCATGCTAGAGCGATGAAAACACCTTAGTTGTGTTTGGCTCGACGATACGAATCGACTGATATGCAACTTGACCCTTACCGGTCAGGTCATGACCTTGACCAGAAGTCAAAGTTTCAAGTTGACCATTCAAGGTCAAGTGATAGTTCATTCGACGCGTCTTGACGAGAGGTTCACGATGCTGGTAAAAGAAAGTCCGTGCAAGGTTTGAGTCAAAAGTTATTGCAGAAAACGGCTTCCGAAAAAATGGGCTATTTTGGCAGTTTTTGTCCCCTGCAGGCAAAAGCGTTGACGGTATGCCAAATCGGAGAGAATTACTCAGAACCGTAAACAGGGCTATCAAATGCGCTTTTCCACGGCGCTGTAGCTTTATTAGCTTCCGAGCTGTGCGTCGATTTGTTGAAAATTGTCGACTCGACATCTGACCTACAAAACGGCGAATTTTGGCCTTCAATGACCTCTGGTGACCTGACCTTTGACTTGACCTGACCAAAAAAAGTGACCGAAGTGATTTCTTCCTTATTTTTGACACTCTTTCGAACGCCGCCTTTCCCGTGTCACTACATGGCCCGTGAGCTGAGTTAGAGGGGGGGGGTTATAACCCCCCAGCAGGGCGTGGAAATCCAGGAGCCCCAGCGGGGCGCGGGTTAACCAAGGGGCGCCTTCTGGCCCGAGGGAGCCGCCGCTGTGTGACCGGACTGAGGGAGCCGCCGCTCCCTGAACTGAGGGAGCCGCGCCGCTCCCTGAACTGAGGGAGCCGCCGCTGTGTGACCGGCCGGAGCCGGCGCTCCCTGAACTGAGGGAGCCGGCGCTGTGTGACCGGACCGGGGGCCGCCGCTGTGTGAGCGGACCGGCCGGGGCCGCGCCGCTCCCTGAACTGAGGGAGCCGCCGCTGTGCGACCGGGGCGGGGGGCCGCCGCTGTGTGACCGGACCGGGGGCCGCCGCTCCCTGAACTGAGGGGGCCGCCGCTGTGTGACCGGACCAGGGAGCAGCACCGCTCCCTGAACTGAGGGGGCCGCCGCTGTGTGACCGGGGCGGGGGCCGCCGCTGTGTGACCGGGGCGGGGGGCCGCCGCTGTGTGACCAGACCGGCCGGGGCCGCCGCTCCCTGAACTGAGGGAGCCGCCGCTGTGTCACCGGGGCGGGGGCCGCCGCTGTGTGACCGGGGCGGGGGGCCGCCGCTGTGTGACCAGACCGGCCGGGGCCGCCGCTCCCTGAACTGAGGGAGCCGCCGCTGTGTCACCGGGGCGGGGGCCGCCGCTGTGTGACCGGACCGGCCGGAGCCGCGCCGCTGTGTGACCGGACCGGCCGGGGCCGCCGCTCCCTGAACTGAGGGAGCCGCCGCTGTGCGACCGGGGCGGGGGGCCGCCGCTGTGTGACCAGACCGGCCGGGGCCGCCGCTCCCTGAACTGAGGGAGCCGCCGCTCCGAGTCGTATCGCCTGCCGCCATCGGCGGCTCGGCGGCCTGCAATTGTCGACGCGCCGCCGCCGATCGGCCTGCGCTGCCGTGCAGCGATCTCTGAGCGCCGCCAGTCCGGTGGGACGGCAGCTCCGCCGGACGGCCGATAGCGCCGGCCACCCACGCGGCGGCCGTGCTGCCGTGTAGGTACTGGGAACGCGGGACCCACCAGGCGTCCGGCGGTGTTAGTACTAGTTACTACTGGTGTACTGGGGACGCGGGACCCACCAGACGTCCGGCGGTGTTAGTACTAGTTACTACTGGTGTACTGGGGACGCGGGACCCACCAGACGTCCGCCGGTGTTAGTACTAGTTACTACTGGTGTACTGGGGACGCGGGACCCACCAGACGTCCGGTGGTGTTAGTACTAGTTACTACTGGTGTACTGGGAACGCGGGACCCACCAGGCGTCCGGCGGTGTTAGTACTAGTTACTACTGGTGTACTGGGGACGCGGGACCCACCAGACGTCCGCCGGTGTTAGTACTAGTTACTACTGGTGTACTGGGGACGCGGGACCCACCAGACGTCCGCCGGTGTTAGTACTAGTTACTACTGGTGTACTGGGGACGCGGGACCCACCAGACGTCCGCCGGTGTTAGTACTAGTTACTACTGGTGTACTGGGGACGCGGGACCCACCAGACGTCCGGTGGTGTTAGTACTAGTTACTACTGGTGTACTGGGGACGCGGGACCCACCAGACGTCCGCCGGTGTTAGTACTAGTTACTACTGGTGTACTGGGGACGCGGGACCCACCAGACGTCCGCCGGTGTTAGTACTAGTTACTACTGGTGTACTGGGGACGCGGGACCCACCAGACGTCCGCCGGTGTTAGTACTAGTTACTACTGGTGTACTGGGGACGCGGGACCCACCAGACGTCCGCCGGTGTTAGTACTAGTTACTACTGGTGTACTGGGGACGCGGGACCCACCAGACGTCCGCCGGTGTTAGTACTAGTTACTACTGGTGTACTGGGGACGCGGGACCCACCAGACGTCCGGTGGTGTTAGTACTAGTTACCTACTACTGGTGTACTGGGGACGCGGGACCCACCAGACGTCCGCCGGTGTTAGTACTGGTTACTACTGGTGTACTGGGGACGCGGGACCCACCAGACGTCCGCCGGTGTTAGTACTAGTTACTACTGGTGTACTGGGGACGCGGGACCCACCAGACGTCCGGTGGTGTTAGTACTAGTTACCTACTACTGGTGTACTGGGGACGCGGGACCCACCAGACGTCCGCCGGTGTTAGTACTAGTTACTACTGGTGTACTGGGGACGCGGGACCCACCAGACGTCCGCCGGTGTTAGTACTAGTTACTACTGGTGTACTGGGGACGCGGGACCCAACAGACGTCCGCCGGTGTTAGTACTAGTTACTACTGGTGTACTGGGGACGCGGGACCCACCAGACGTCCGCCGGTGTTAGTACTAGTTACTACTGGTGTACTGGGGACGCGGGACCCACCAGACGTCCGCCGGTGTTAGTACTAGTTACTACTGGTGTACTGGGGACGCGGGACCCACCAGGCGTCCGGCGGTGTTAGTACTGGTTACTACTGGTGTACTGGGGACGCGGGACCCATCAGATTGGTGTTACCCATCAAGTGGTGTTAGTACTAGTTACTACTGGTGTACAGACTATAAGTTACTGCTGGTGTACTGGGGTTTTGTGTTATTCATACTACACTCAAATTACCCCTTCCTACTCTAATGGAGAGGGCGCAAGACTGACATGACCTTAGGTCACGGATATCGAAATTCCGAGTTGCTCATTTTACGCTCTTATAAATCTCTGAGAGTTTCAAGGTGATCGTTCGGTCGGTAAAGCGGTCGGTAAGTATTATAACTTCTGAGGTGAGGTCACTGAACATGACTTGGTGACCTGACCTTCAGCGACCTTATTCTGAAATTTTTACAACATATGCGGAAAAATGCATTAACACGTTTGGCAAAAACGGTGTTGCTCCCCGCTGCCGTTTTTGAGATACTGGCAAAAAAAGCACACACACACAAGGGGTGTGGCCCGACGCAGATTGAGGTTAACGTTACATACGCATGCATGTTCCTGGTTCCACATTTCATGTGAAATTATCAGCATGTCCAATGTACTTGCTGAATGCACATGTCCACACGCGGAGGGGCTTATGAAATGTTTCAGAAGTGCAATTCTGCTGTACTTCTGAACAAAACACCACATAGCTATGTTAATCCACTGATAGATCCCGTCCCTAGATCATGAGGTCATAAATGCCGTCCTCGCCGCACGCCATGGCTGGACGATGATGGTGGCCTCTATGACGTCACTAATCGGTACATGACGTCACTAAATCTGCTCGGTTCCCAGGGTGTTATCAGTCACAGCTGAGTAATTTGAACACCTGCAGTGTATGTGCCGACAGTTGCTCAATGTTTCAGCACAGAAAGTATTTTGATGATTACCTGTTTCCTAAAGGCGTTGGTGATACTCTGAAAGCATTTCCGGCGCCAAAATGCCAATTTCGATACTCTTACCTTACCCCATTGCCGAGTCCAACTGGTGAGGTGATCACAATTCACTGAGACGTTTCGTTGGCACCTCTGCGTAGTCTAGACAATGCGGTCGGCACGTATGTGGGAAACCCACAGGTCCGTACAGGGCGAAACGTATCGCCAGAGGACAATGGCTACAACGTTTGCAACCCTCTTTATAAAAACACCGTTTATCTACCTAGTGGTTTTGGGAAAATGGCGACATTGTTGCACTCTGGCCGGCATCAGGACTTGAGATGTCAATCGGATACCAACTTTTTGGTATACCGATACCAAACCGATATCAACTCGGTATTTGGTGTTTCAATCCTAATGTGTTTGGTATTTTGTTGGTATCATGAACCCTCGCTAATGTGAGGCTAAGAAATCGGTAAAAAGTTGGTATTTTCCACATGTTCCCAAGTTGTTTGGTTTCGGTATTTGTCCACGGTTTTGGTTGGTATTTGGTTTGGTATCGGTATTCCGATTTTCCGTAATTGACATCACTAATCAGGACCCAGTAATTTGCGGTGTTTGTGTTTGAGCACGTTCTCGACAGGAGGCACGGAAATGGATCTAAGAGGGCCGCTGCAGTCGCTCCGGCAGCCGGCGGCGCAGGGCGGCCCGCCGGAGCCGCACCAAACGCAGTTCTCATCATACCGGCCGATGACGGCCCTGTGTTTGGCCGAGTAGGCGCGGAAGTGGGCACACGCAACCGCACGCTACGGCTGCGGCGGGGCACAAACCAATTATGTATTTCAGGTTGTGCGAGCACACAAACCGCTGGCAAACTTTTGGGCAAGAAACATGGCAGGACACAGGGAAGGCAATATATCAGGGCGTGTACAAGGCCGGGTACATGTCAAGATAAGATTTAGGGCATGCATGTGAGGGCAAAGGGCAGTGCAAATAGCACGACGCAGGGCAGGGCACGGGGCAGGGCATGGGGCAGCGCACGGGCGGGGAACCGGGAAGGGCACGGGTCGGAGCACAGGACAGGATAAAGGGCAGAGCTCAGGGCAGGGCACAGGGCAGGTACAGGACAGCGCACAGGACAGTGCTCAGGACAGCGCACAGGACAGTGCTCAGGGTAGCGCACAGGACAGTGCTCAGGGTAGCGCACAGGACAGTGCTCAGGGTAGCGCACAGGACAGTGCTCAGGGTAGCGCACAGACCGATGCACAGGCCAGGACAGGGCACATGGCAGTGCTCAGGACAGGGCACAGACCGATGCACAGGCCAGGACAGGGCACAGGGTAGCGCACAGACCGATACACAGGCCAGGACAGAGCACGTGCAGGGCAGTGCTCAGGGTAGCGCACAGACCGATGCACAGGCCAGGACAGGGCTCCAGAGTCCAGTCACCCACCCGTTATAAGCGCGAGGGCTTACCATTGTGTGCTCCTTCTCGGGAAATTTGTAGGTCCTGAGGAGTACTCACCGGAGTGAAGCCAACACCCGATCTTCGTCTATCCTGCCGAAAAAGCAGACAAGAACCATGACAAGGAGTTGGTCAGAGTGAGGTAAATTGGCCGCTGTTAAAAAAACGACATGCCTGAAAAACAACGCCTAATTTCTGAATATTTTCATCTCTGGTAGGTCTTGCATTTTTGCTTGCCGTTTAAATTGTGCATTTCAGACCTTGCATGACGACATATGAGACGATAAAATGTTGTTTAGCGCAATGGGAGTTAATCGCTAATAACTTCTGTAGTGTTTGGATTCATACTGACAAGTAGAAGTAGTATAAAGTTAATTCCTCAGTTATATTTATGTATTGACAGACCAAAACGCGTTTCGAATAAATCGTCTTCAGTTGGTATGTATCGTATGTATGATAAAAACCGTAGCTGTGCATAAAATCGACATTTGAAAATATGACACTTATTACATGCTATGCAAGTTAAGGTTACCTACATGAAGTTTCTCAGTGCTTGTGCGAGGATCATATTAAAACATTTTGATTAATGACCTTACCCTCGTAGTTTGAAAAAGTTAGATCAAAACACTTGTTTATTAATAATTTCGAGCACAGCTCTTCATCAGAATACAAGGCTAAAAATGTCACGATAGCTTTGTATTCTGATGAAGAGCTGTGCTCGAAATTATTAATAAGCAAGTGTTTTGATCTAACTTTTTCAAACTACGAGGGTAAGGTCATTAATCAAAATGCTTACCTACATGAAGTAAAACACACACACGCAAATTACATATCGCACTTACATTCCGACAAAATTAATTTAGACGCCATTTCTGACAATGCGACCCTACCAGTTTTGGGATTCATACATTCTTTCACTTCCAGAACAGCGGCTTCTATGGCAATTCTTCTTTTCTTTTCTACATTTTGTATGATACTTTTTGCTCCTCTCCAGTCCGGTAAAGCACCACATTCATGACTATGCTAGACTATAGTTTTTGGTCTTTGGTTTTTTAACCCGCGCGGGGCTGGGGGGGGGGTAAATTTTACCCCCCTCGCGAATTTTTGCAATATCTCAAAAACGGCGGCGCGCAGCGCCGCCAAACTTTCAGTACATTTTCTTACATCAATTTGACACGTTCCCTGAAAATTTGAGCGAAATCCGTCGGAAATTTTTTGAGAAATTGACGTTTTAGTGACGTCATGTTCCCCATTTTCGCCTCAAAAAACGGCAAAACTTCAAACGCCGCTAACATCTTCATTTTTAAAGGAATCAAGACGTAACAAAAAAGGTTATACGTAATTCTACTTTGTCTATCAAATGGCTATCTCGGTTTTCTGAAAATTTTGGATTTTGGCCCAAATTTTTTCAAAAAACTGACTTTTTTGGGAAAATAGTTATAAAATCCAAAATTTTGTGTGTATCGAAAAAACCGGAATATATGTCAGAGAAGTGGTCTATGTGCACCTACATACCAATTTTTAGAAGAATCGGTTCAAAAATGTGGGAGTTATTCAAAATTTTATGTCGTCACGACACACAAAAATTTTGAAAAATGATTTTTTGGAAGTTCTAGACCTCGTACGGAAACAAAAATAGCACCATTCGATTTGCCGTGAAAAACTGCATCAGATAGACACCGTTTTAGGCCTTAACAACCAACTTCAAAATTTGACCTCACTTGACCTGACCTTGACCTGACCTCGACCTGAAATTCATCCAGAGGTGGTCCATATCACTTATTGAGTGTGCCTATTGAATTCTATGAGTAAAATGACCCATAAAACATGTGTCGCACATGCCCTTTTCTCTATTTTGTTTTTTGGTGACCTGACCTGACCTGACCTGACCTTGACCTTGACCTCTGAATGATATTGTATGCAGCGAATATTGTCTTGGTAGCCTAAGAACACGTTTTGGCTAATCAGTCTCAGTCGATGACTCCATTCTTCGGCAACTACGGTGCAAGACCGATACTGTAGAAACTTGCAATTTGTACCCTTGACCTGACCTTGACCTTGACCTCAAACTTTAAATTAAGTACATGTTTTTAGTTGTTCGTGATGAGATCTTTCGATTGGCGTTTGAATTTTCCAAATCGGACCATTTGTTCGGGAGATAACAGGGGGGTAAAATTTACCCCCCCCCCCAGCTCCGCGCGTTCGGCTGGAGACCCCAGCCCCGCGCGGGTTAAATTTTGTCTATGTTCTGTCAGTCTCGTATTCAAGCCTCTTCCTGTTTCTCCGTAATACGGTTTAGGACATCCTAGGCATGGTATTTTGTAGCCACGAGGCTTTTTTCATGTACCTGTTTCTTTTCTGTCGAACAATATCTCCTATCTTCTTCCCTGATCTTTCCATGACAGCGATGTCAGCTTGTGTCAGAAAACCTGCGAATTGCGATCGTATTTACATGTTTGGACGCCGGTACCACAATGACCTTTGGGTGGGTCTTCTTTTCTTTTGATTTCTGTACATTTCTTCTAATCTTAATTGCTTTCTTCCTGCATTTGACCAGTAAAGCTTTTGGATACTTCAGTTTGATGAATGTATTTTCTATGTGTTCAAGCCCTGCATTCAAGAACTCAGGGCTACAAATCCTAAATGCTCTTAAATAAAAACCAATTAAAACCCCAGTCTTTATCCTGGGACTATGCGCTGAATAAAAATAAATGTAGTCCTCCTTTTTCGTTTCCTTTCTGAATACTTTGAACTTTAAACCCTCCTCGTTGGTGCGTATTATCGCTACATCCAAAAATGGAAGATGCACCCACCCTCCTCTTCTCCTATAGTAAACTGTAAGTAGGATCTTCTCTATGGAGCTCAATCGAGTAGATCCTCCTAGCTGAGTTCTTGAATGCAGAGCTTGAACATGTGTCTTATGACATGATACGTCATATATCATGTAAAATATGCAACGTGAACACAAAATACACGTTTTCGTTAAGCATAGGCGGATTCAGGCATGCTAAGACGGGGGCAGTACATTGAGATTTCTCAGGTATCCGGGTCCGCCTATTCCAATATTTTCATTGTAGAATGACGTCATATAGTCTTTAGGTACATACATAGGACGGGGGGGGGGGGGGCACTGATCACCATTACAAACCTAAGTAAGTCGCTGCTTAGCGGCAAATGTCGGAACAGTCAAAGCTAGGCCAAACCTACCCCCGAGAAACTTGTCCTGGAGACGCCTCTGCGCAAGCTAGAAACTCAAAAATTTGACACAATGTGCCCAATGAATGGCAAGGAAAAGTCACAAAATTTCAAGTCCTTAGCTAGAGTGGTTTTCCGTCGAGAGCAACAAAAAAAAAAAACTACCGGTGGGGGCCGATTTGCCCCCCCCCCCCACCAGTAATAGGGTTAAACCAGGCAACTATAAACCACAAAGCCGCCCAAAGGAACCGGAAACATTATAACTACTTATAACATTAGTTATTTAGGGGCTCTAGCGGAACCTCATTTTCGATTGAATATATAAGCTCTGCAGTTTTGCAGCATTTTAGGGTGTTCCAAAACTGGTATCGAACTTACTATCCACTTAAGCATTTAGGAATTATTACATTGTAGGAAAAGTACATTGAAGCTGATGCCACAAGTGACAAAGCTGTCACTAGCTGTCAATAAACACATACAATTGACTAAGAACTAAGAACTGTATGACTAAGAAATTGGTCGGGACGCCGACTTGACCATGCTTGACCTGACCCAGCCTATCCGAAATGCACAAATATATTATTACTGAATAAGATGACTGCTTTAAATTTAGAGCAAGAAGCCAATGGAAAACAAGAAAATGTTAACGAATCAAGATGAACGTCCAAACTACGACCTACGATTATTCATCGAAACAGCCGAAACGAACCAAGAACTCGAAGACGGATCGCTGACGTCTTAACGAATGAAGTGTGTCTGCGCATTTTAATCGCGTGTTTCTTAGTGTTAAATTCAATGAATGAAATGTTGAGGTTTTAATGTTAACAGTACACATCATACGCATTTTGATTTCTGTTTTGGTCTTTTATAGGTATTTTTAGTGCTTTAGACAGGCTGATGAAGGAAGACGGATGTCTCCCGAAAGCTACCGTAAACCGGGGTGAGTTGATATGGATTTTGAGGTTTTTCTATATTTCTTTAAAAGCCACATTTATTTACGGAATTCTTTTTGTGCCAGTTTCATGGCACATGCCTTGGGGAGGCAATCAGCAAAAATGAATAAAAAATGTATATATTAAGCCCCTTTTTTAAAACGCCAAAGTTCATATCAACTCACCCCCTGGGGGGTGGTGAGTTGATATGGTTTTGGATTTTTCAAAATTTCTCGGCTAAAGAAGCTCAGAGGTGAGTTGATAAAATGCCAGTGTTTAAAAAAAGGATGAGAGAACACATCCTGAAAGAAACCATCAGAAAAATGGTAGTAGTTTGGCAGCAGACCTCACATTCATGAAAACGCAATCATGCCCAACACAGCGCTATCAAAATGGCTTGATTTTAGCAGCATCATTTTTTCGCTTTATGATACTTAGTTTTACTTAGAACATTCTGAACTTGGCTAGTCACGTGTCCTCAAGCCAACGGTATCAAAACTGGCAATATATTTTGGAATTACAAGTGTATTTTTATGTAATTAAAACACATTGTCAGTTGCGGGTCAAGGTTGATATGCCTCTGACAGAGATAAGGGATTGAAATGAAAGAATACCTATACTTATGAGCTTTTGTTGACTGGTAGTCAACAAAATATTAATGAAGTGAAGTGAAGCGAATCTAATTCGGACTGTATTCTATCAGGTGAAACAAGCGACATAAAACAGAATTCGGCATCAAAAGCCAAAATTAACCCTCGCACTTATAGGCGGGCGAACGGACCACCTCGGCTTTTCGCACATAACTCAAGCAAAAAGCGGCCGATCGCGACGAAACTTTCAGTACCTCTCGAGTTTATCAATTTTACACATGTTCTAAAGATTTCATGACCCTGACTCAAATGGTTTTTGACTTGTGACCTGATTCTCGAGACCATGCTTGGCCGGAATCGCGATTTGGCGTAGTCGGCTCACATTATCCGCGTATTTCCAGTCTTTTTGTGATTGTAACGTCCAAACATGTAAACGATGTTGGTCCCACGCAGTATTGTGCGTGTCAACTGTCAAGGTCACCTGAAGGTCAGGTCAGGTCATTGACCTTTGGTGACCTCGGTTCACTTTTTGGAATTTTACATGTTTCTAGGGTAGTTTTTTCGGGCCGATTTCGAATTTAACATGCATTTGATCATTTACGAAGTAGTTTTAGTGCCTTCGTAACATGTTACGACACCGTCAGTGGTAGTTGACACTTGACACTCCCTATGGATAGCCGGCAGGACACCTACTGGTTGACCTGACCTGACCTGGCCTAAATGTACGAAGACATTTGTAATCAAAACTAACATGACATTCGTGATCAGCAACAGCCAAAAAATAATAAACTCGCTTTACGAACTTCAAATAATCCCCTATTTTCCCGACTCCTGGGTAATTGACCTGGCCTGGAAGGTTAACCAATGACCTAGGACCTTAAAGTTGGTTATCATCGGCTTCCTCGCGTCTCGGGCAACACGCTCATTTTTTTCCGCGAAGCTCTAGCTCCACCAGGGGCCAAACGACGATGGGATTCCAACGGACCCCCCCCCCCCCCCCCCATACGTTAAACGCTGGCAAAACACGAATACGGGCGAGGGCTAAAACACCAGTCAATTTCTTTATATTGTTTGTTCCATTTCATTTTGTCACTCATTCTCGGTTGGCAACTGCCAAGCAGGAAAACTAATCAGTTTCACGAGATCAGAATTCCCGCGCTGTTAGCCATACAGAAACGACAGTTCTGTCATTTTCGAAACTACGAATAATTATAACAATTTTTTTAATCTGTATGTATATAGGTGTTCAATAGTGCTCCTTTGTAGCTTGTAGGGAGCCATCTTGAGACTTAACAGGGAGTTGTGTTGTGCCTTTTGCATGTTAGGTATGTCCACAGAAAAAAACTTTGGGGTCACTGATGTTAGTTGTCGGACCTTCGTCCGCTTCTTGAGTTGAGATGTTAGTTTCACAACGTTTCGGCCAGTTACTCTCCGGCCGTCGTCACTCGGCAGGTGTTCTTTGACCCTCAGAAGGACCTCGATGTTGGTGGCATTGCGCCGTACGCGTCAAACTGTTCGAAAGCTCCTGTAGTCAGCGGGAATCGAACTCGGGTTTCCCCGGTGATGGTCCACGGTTCTAACCACTCCACTATCGAGGCAGATTTGACAATGGCCGGAGAAGTTACTGGCTGAAACGTTGTGAAACTAACATCTCAACTCAAGACGGGGACGAAAGTCCGACAACTAACATCAGTGATACTAACAGGCCTCGTCTCAAGCATTCAGAAAAAAAAAACTAAAGCTTTTGGGGGTTGATGGAATGATGTGGGGAAAGAAAAGGAGAAGAGTTGGTCTAATTGACTTTGTCTTACCTGCAGATCCATATTTCATGCTAATTTGCATGCATACCAGCCTGGTATCAGCTTTTATCATGCATATCAACTCACCACTTGATGGCATATCAACTCACCACCTGTCACTTTTCTTAAAATTATAAAAAAAAACGTTGTTATAGGTGAAACCCAAAACTACCTGGGATCAACAGTAAATTGATGGTAGTTTCTTTCCCAGTGCATGTTGTTCCATGAATATCCACCGTCTTTGCTGTAGGGTGGGGAATTTTCCTTAGTTTCAAAATCAGAAGAAAAAAAGGACTTCGAAAAAAGTAATGTGTTAAGAAGGCACTGCACCACATGCAGGCCTTTCTCAGCTATGTGCATCACTTATTGGTTGCTTCACTTCACAGAAAAATAAAACTGAAGATTGGTTTACAAATGGATGAGCAGCATGCATTTTAACATTTTTCGAGCAATCTATATCAACTCACCACCCCATATCAACTCACCCCGGTTTACGGTACCAATAAAGATAAACAAAGCTGGTGTCCTGAACAATCTTTACCAAGAACTATAGTGACTTCCGTCTACAAAAGGCTAGGCTAGGTCACTTGACCTGACCTGGTGACCTGACCTCAAGTGCCCCGGGTCTGAAATTTTCACAACATATGTAAAAAAGGTGCATAGCGCCGCCGTTTTTGAGATATTCGCGAAAAACCGTAAAGGGGTGTTCAAACAACCCCCAGCAGAGCGGGGGAATGAATTTTATAAGGTTTTAATAGGACTTGATATGTTTTAAATCAAACTTAATAAGCCTTAACCCTCGCCGGCCGAGGGAGGTTTTTTCGCGATAGCTCCAAACACGCTGGGATACATAGCTGAAACTTAGCTTACCTAACCTTTGATTCAAGCCGGATCTTTTGACACCAACCGCATTTTCAGGTCAGGTCAGGTCACTGACCTATGACGTCATAAGTGAACCTCTGCACGATCTTCAGATGTCGCAACTGCGCAACGCCCTCACTGCCAGAAGAGCTTTCACAGGGAAATGAAACTTGCAGGATCTAGTACCCATTTTACGAGTCTCACAACTTGTTTATCTCGGATTTTTCCGAAAGGTCAGGTCATTTTCGTGACCCATTAGTCAATGGGGAAAAATGCAAACTGTTATTCTGGCACCGGGAGCGATCTCCAGCTATCTCAAGCACACAGAATCGTGATTTGCTGCACTCCTTGCAAGGTTAGATGAGTCACTTTTGCAATGTTGACCTTGCGTGACGTCATTTATGACGTCATCAAGGTCATATTAGTTTTTCGTCAATAACTCGCGATCAAATTGAGCTAGCGAGGCGGGAAAGACAGCAATAGACTCAGGAAGACCTGCCAAATCGAACGGTATGCGACATGACCTCTTTCAACCAGCTTCGTGACCTGGGGGCGTTGACCTGACCGTGACCTGAGATCAACACCCTAAGTTGACCTGACCCAAACAAAAAGTATATCACTCGACGCGCCTGAGCGAGGCGAACACTATGCTGCCAAAGTCGCGGCTCTGCGGCCGTTTTCTGCGAAGTTATTTACCAAAAACTGAACCGTACCCTGGGGCACTTGACCTGACCTCAGAGGTCACCAACTGAGCTAGGACCTTAAAATCGGGTACAGGGACCCGCAGTTGCTACTGTACAGCGACCCTGAGTAAATTGTCCCAGCACCCTCACAGGGAACAACGATAAGCTGTCAGAGGGTACTCACAGGAAACCTCAGCTGCTCTTGTACAGGGACCAGCAGTCGATATCAATGTTATCGGTTGTTACTGGACAGGACAGACGGTTAGACTTGGGGTTCGTGTACAGTAGCAACGGCGGGTCCCCGTACCAATCTCTGCGTCTCGTAACGGCGCACACGCTCGTTTTTTCCGCGACGCGCTAGCTCCACCAGGGGCGAAACGGCGAGGGGGGAGGTCGTACCCCCCTCGGCCGGCGCGTATGTAGAAAACCAATAGGTCCGGCGAGGGTTAAAATGAATTTTATTAGATTGATATGAATGTGTTATGTTTTAAATAAATTGTTCCAAAGATTAAATTGAATTTTATAAAGATTAATTCAAATGAAAAAAGGTGTAGAGTTACATGTTGTCGCACAGGTGCCGGGGCCAATGAACCCCACAGTGGCCCTGTCCCCGGGGTGTGACCGTGCCGTGCACCCTGAGCGGGTGCCGACTCACCTGCACGGAGCAGGCCATGGCGCCGCAGTGGCGCGCTGCGTTCGACTGACTGGCGGCCGCGGGCCGGGCCGCGGGCCGGGCCGGGCCGGGCCGCCCCGCCCCGCGGCCGCCGGCCTTCCATTGGAGCGCCGCCGCGCCGCCGCGCTGGGGGGAGGGGGGCTGTTCAGAGGACAACGCGCCTCCCCGTCCTGCTCTCCCCCTATTCCTCTCCACGTCTCTCTTTCCTCTATTCTCTCTTTGCTTAGCGCGCGAGATGCTGGGGTGGGGCTTTAACCCGCGCGGGGCTGGGGGGGGGGGGGGGTAAATTTTACCCCCCCTCGCAAATTTTTGCGATATCTCAAAAACGGCGGCGCGCAGCGCCGCCAAACTTTCAGTACCTTTTCTTACATCAATTTGACACGTTCCCTGAAAATTTGAGCGAAATCCGTCGGAAAATTTTTGAGAAATTGACGTTTTAGTGACGTCATGTTCGCCATTTTCGCCTCAAAAACGGCAAAAGTTCAAACGCCGCTAACATCTTCATTTTTAAGGGAATCAGGACGTAACAAAAAAGGTTATACGTAGTTTTACTTTGTCTATGAAATGGCTATCTCGGTTTTTTGAAAATTTTGGATTTTGGCCTAAATTTTTTCAAAAAACTGACTTTTTTGGGAAAATCATTATAAAATCCAAAATTTTGGAACTATCGAAAAAACCAGAATATATGTCAGAGAAGTGGTCTATGTGCACCTACATACCAAATTTTAGAAGAATCGGTTCAAAAATGTGGGAGTTATTCAAAATTTTATGACGTCACGACACACAAAAATTTTGAAAAATGATTTTTTGGAAGTTCTAGACCTCGTACGGAAACAAAAATAGCACCATTCGATTTTCCGTGAAAAACTGCATCAGATAGACACCTTTTTAGGCCTTAACAACCAACTTCAAAATTTGACCTCACTTGACCTGACCTTGACCTGACCTCGACCTGAAATTCATCCAGAGGTGGTCCATATCACTTATTGAGTGTGCCTATTGAATTCTATGAGTAAAATGACCCATAAAACATGTGTCGCACATGCCCTTTTCTATATTTTGTTTTTTGGTGACCTGACCTGACCTGACCTGACCTTGACCTTGACCTCTGAATGATATTGTATGCAACGAATATTGTCTTGGTAGCCTAAGAACACGTTTTGGGCGATCAGTCTCAGTCCATGACTCCATTCTTCGGCAACTACGGTGCAAGGCCGATACTGTAGAAACTTGCAATTTGTACCCTTGACCTGACCTTGACCTTGACCTCAAACTTTAAATTAAGTACATGTTTTTAGTAGTTCGTGATGAGAGCTTTCGATTGGCGTTTGAATTTTCCAAATCGGACCATTAGTTCGGGAGATAACAGGGGGGGGGTAAAATTTACCCCCCCCCCCCCCAGCCCCGCGCGTTCGGCTGGGGACCCCAGCCCCGCGCGGGTTAAAGGCCCTCCACTTTTTATCGCCGTGCAATATCTCTAAAACAGCGCACCGCATGCGTGCCCAATTTTTGGATCCCTGACGCTATTAGATTAAAGTGTATTTACCCAGTGTTAAAAAAAAAACAATCGAACATTTTTTGAGACATTAAGGACATGACGAGTTTTCGACTAAAAGTGGCATATGTTTGAAAAATCATATCATAATAAAATCGCACAGATTAGCCGTACAGACATGCGGTAAACGTCGCTCGACTGCCAATACCATGTAAGTACATACATTTTATACATTCAATTTGCTACCTTCAATTTTTTAATATCACTCGTTTTTTTTAAACCATGAGCTGAATCTTGGCAATTTCTAGTGACTACTTTAGGACATGATGTATGTATTATATCTTCAGCATTGCGGAAAAGATCTACCTATGATTAGGTGTGTCAAAAACGGTGGCGCTGAGCGCTGCCGTTTTTAACCCGCGCCCTGGTGGGGTCTGTTTATAACGCGACCTGGTGGGGGGGGGCTATTTTTTGCCCCCCCTCGTATCTCCGAAACTACTGGACGGATCCGAAAAATTCAAACGGCGTTCGAAAGGCCTGTCAAATTTGTCGAGGGAAACCAAGTTTTATTGACCTCGGGGTCACCGATGACGTCACAGGTCAGGTCAAAGATGAAATGTTTCACCGTTCACGGGTCTTACTAGGGAATGCGCTATAACACCGAGGAAAACGCATTTTGTCGGGAATCAGCGATAGGGCGTCAGTTGCCTAGTAGATATGTTGCTGTTAGAGGTCACTGGTCATACCAGGTCAGGTCACAGGTCAGGTCACCAAAGGTCACCAAGGGTCACCACATGAACCCAACTTTACTAAGGTTATGCGATGCATGTTTTATGGCCAGTTTTTCATTTCCAACTCAATGGTGTTGGTTATAAGACCATCAGGTACGGTTTAGGTCACTTTCTGGTGGAGGTCAGGTCAAGGTCAGGTCAAAAAAGGTCAAATTTCAAATTTGATATTTTTGCATAAAATGGGTATTGATTCGATGCAGCTCGTCACGGGGAGTCTAATGGTGGTCTTTGTTTTGCGCTACGAGGTCTAAAATTGCTGAAAATTGAGTTTGAAAATTTGACGTCATCAATTTTGAACAGTTTTTTTCGCTATAACTTGGCCAAAAAAAGAGGTATCGATCTCAAATTTAGTATGTAGATAGAAGGCGGTAAGGACTATCACATATATTCCGGTTTTTTTCGAAATTCAAAAAACTTTTTGGATTTTTTGTCTATCATATTCAAAAAATCTATTTTTTTGATTTTTGGGGGGTCAAAATCCAAAAATTTCAAAAATCCGAGATAGCAGTTTTGTAGCCCTGTCCATTCTACAGCTTTTATGTCTGTATCATTTTTCTGTATTTGCAAAGCTATAGGCCTGACAGCTCTTCCCGCGAAACCCTTTTTTGGGTCGAAAATGGCAGAACATGACGTCACTCTGACGTCATTTCCGGCCAACCTATCATAGCCTTTGGAAAAAATTTTGGTCACAATGTGTAAAATTGATGTCCGGGAGGGTACTGAAAGTTTGGTGACGATCGGCGCAGTGGTTCTGGAGATATATCGAAAAGTCTGGAGGGGGCAAAAAATAGCCCCCCCCACCAGGTCGCGGGTTAAAATATTGGCGAAATCCGTAGGGGGATTGTTCAACCATCCCTCTCCGAGCACGGCGTGGGTTAAAGTGATTTTCTTCGACCAAACACGTACTCGTATGATATAATGAACGGCAATATCGTATTCTACGCCTAAAAGTACCCATAAAGCATATGTCATATTCATTTTCAGGAATAGGTATGTTCCTGAAATCATATTCCATCACTGATCCCTAAATGAATCCGACACTTGAGTGTAGCACTTATATGAGAGTTTTGCACAGTCTGGACGGACGTTATGACGAGAGACCTTGTATCACAGACCTGTGCGAGGTTTTAGAGTCCATACAACTCACAGCTCAATTTTATGTGTTTGGCCTGACCTTCCCGGCTGTGACCTCGAAATTCAACTTACAAGTATTCATCACAAGCGTCTCATCGCGTTCGCTCTATGCCACCTCGTGCGTTTCACTGCACCTATTGGTTTTCGAGTTATCAGCTGGGGGCGTTTAACTCGCGCCCTGGTGGGGTCTGTTTATAGCGTGACCTAATGGGGGGCTATTTTTACCCCCCCCCCTTTCTCCGGCATTATTGGGTGGATTTATAAAACTCAAACGTTGTTCGATAGCCATGTAAAATCTGTCAGAACTCAAAAGAACATAATTTCATTGACCTGGAGGTCACCGATGATGTGACCAGCACAAGACCTAGCCCAAGTGATCGCGGCACCTTAACCACTTCACAGAGAGGCCCGAACGACCGAAGCCTGGTGGAGGATGTCACAGGTAAGTTCAAAGGTCGCATTTTTCACCATGTACAGGCCTTCTGGGAAATGCGTTATCAATCGAGTAAAAGGCATGCTATCGGAAATCATCGATATAGCGTCGGTTACCTAATACGAATGTTGGTAAAGAATCACTGATGCTAGGTCAGGTCACAGAGGCCAGGTCACTAAGGGTCAAAATATGATCCAAACTATACTAGGGCCGTGTGATGCATGTTTCATGACAAATTTTACATTTCCAATGAAATGATGTTGGTTAGACGATCATTGGGGCCGGTTTAGGTTAGGTTCTGGTGGAGGTCATGTAAAAAATGTCAAGTTAAAAAACTGATGGTTTTGCATAAAATGTGTATCTATTCGATGCAGCTCCGCGGGGAATCCAATGGTGATCTTACTTTCATTTTACGTGGTCTAAAATGGCTAAAAATATTGAGTTTAAAAGTTTGACGTAATCAATTTTCAGCAGGTTTTTTTTCGCCATAACTTAGCCAAAAATAGAGTTATGGGACTCAAATTTGACGTTTCGAATGTCGATAGCAGACCAATAGTTCTATAACACATATTCCGGTTTTCAAAATTTTGAGAAATGTTTTTTTTCTTTGGTACGGTTCGCCGAGTGATCCTCCCAGCGAGAGTTCCTGAAGAAGTGAACTTGGATTTATACAGCTCAAACGTTGGCGTGCAGTTCTGGCGTGCAGTTCTGGCGTGCTGTTCTGGCGTGCAGTTCTGGCGTGCTAGCGCTTGAGCCGGTGGAGCTAAGTTCCCTCACACGCCCCACACCATCACCAATGCCGCCGCTGGGCTTATTTTTGTACATTGACATTTGTCATTTATTGCAAAAATATACTTCTTATCCCTCGCCCTGGCAGGGGGGGGGGTCGATGCGACCCCTCCTAAGGTTTTTCGAAAATAGCGTAAAAACGGCGGCGCGCAGTGCCGCCAAATTTGGTACAGCTAATGAGGCTAACTTTTTAAATATGACTTGAAAATTTCAGTTCCGGATGATTTTGGGTCAGGTCACCAGGCCAGAAGAACGAGGACAAGGTCATGGTCAAATTTCGATTTTCTTTTTGCACCTGTCCAACTCACAGTTTTGGACTGATATTCTTCAAACTATCAGGATATGCTAAGTTTACCGAGTTGTATAACATATATTTCGGTTTTTATGGCAC